ATCTTTTGACTATAGTGTCGCGATGTTTTCATCTAACCTTCCTAAAATGCTTGCTCTTTTGCACTACTCGTTCAAGCCAAAACTTCCTTCACGCAATCACAACCCATCTTACCATTTTAGATAAAATGTGTCTCCCACTATACTTCTTGATAATGTGCAAGACCAATAATTTCAAAATCTATTTTTGGACTAACCATGGTCAAAAGTCCACCCCACTTTCTTAACCATGGTAATCCCTACTATATAATAAGGACTTTTGGCACTCCCTTAAAGTCAAATAGTGATCATTGTCGACTACCTCTTTCTTCTCCCGGTAAAGCAACTCTCCGGCAGTTTTTCGTGGGAACCCAGTATTACAAGTCAAAACTTCCGGCCAAACAACAAGGTATGTGTAAATATTTTTTTCGGGTTCTGATATAAACCAAAATCTCGATCGATCTAGCATAACTATATATTAACAGAAAAACCAATTTGATTGATCTTATGATAGTTAAAACTGTTACTAAGATTCATTTGTTACGTGGATTTACGGTTATAATAATATAAATTCATTTTCCTATTAAAGGATATTCGAATTTTGACTTATTGAAATTCTCAGACAAGAATTTTCACTGTTTAGGAGTTTTCTGTTATTTCGCAGACAGGAGAATGGCAAAAGACATGTACGAGGAAGCCATTGCAGGCCTGAAGAAGCTTCTTAGGTTGTACTATTTTTCGACTTTTTCCATATCTGTCCTTTTCTGACTCAAGTTTTTGGGATCCCAATCACTACTTTTCATCGAAATCTGTCCTTCTAAGTCATTTTGCATCCCAATGGCACGAACCCCCATGGCGATGCATCATAATTTCATGGGAGAATTGCATCTTTATTCTCCAATTTATTAACCTAGTAACAATTTGATCCTTATTAGTTGCAGACGAGCAATTTATTCTTCAACCTTTCATTATAGTTGCATAATTATCGTTAATTTGTTACTAACCCTCGTAATACCATTTTAAGTTTGGAAAGTAGTTTTATAAACTTCGATCTGTGTAGTGGTGGAACTACATGTGGTCATGGGTTATAATCGTTCGTACAATATTTTGAAATTTTTATATAGAAAATTTTTAATGTATATTGTTCAACATTTTTTCATCCATCTTATGCGAAAAATTCGGCTCCACCCCAGGATATGTAAGAGGATAGTGTGACAATTCAATATATCTTTGAGCTGCTGCTTGGACCTATTGTGTACTATAACGAAAGATTGGGATGAAAATTTTCCTTTTTAAAGAATAGGGACTAGTTTGCTTTTAAAGCAATAATTGGTGTCAATAGTGCAATTCCCTATTCCGTCATCATTGCAGTAAATGCTGCAAAACTTTCTCGTGCGTTTCCTAACGGTTTGTCTACCATATGGGGCCCACTTAAGTTACCACTAATTAGTGGGGTCCACATCGGAGACATGTGTTATTATATGAGTGGCTGATTAATTTTTCACGGGCAGTGCAAAGGGTGAGCTTGAGGCCGTGGCGGTCACCAAGATACGGCAATTGACGGCGGAGCTGGAGGAGAGCGGCGGAAAAGTATATGACCCGGTTGAGAGAATCCGAACCGGGTTCGATCACTTCAAGAAAGAAAAATACGAGTAAGTAGCGACATTACAGAGCATAAAAACATGGAAATGAATAAAAATTTGTACTTTTTGCATAAGAGTTGGAACCTTCTGGTTGGCATCAAAACTTGCGAGATTCTTGGACATGGTACTAAAAATAAATATATCCGATGTACTAATTTAGTAATAGTTAATTATTGAGTTCACCAAATATTAGATAAAGCAAGGAATTATGCATTTGAATTATTCTAGTCGTACGATAACCCTGGTTGACGATGAACTCACAAGAGTGTGACTCACGATTTTTTTATTCAACGTGAACCCCCTTTCATGTGTGTGGTTGTCAATCGGGATTGTTAACCCCGATTGCACATATAGCATAACTGTTATACATATTAAGCCATAGGGATCAAAATAAAATTTTTTTAGTAGATTTTAATAAAAGTTAATGAAATATGTGATTGAAAAATTGTGGATCCCTAATATGTTATTAAAATTAATGATTGAATTTGACTAAGATTAAAATTAAAATTTTAATCACTACAATATATGGGCTAAATATTTGATAAGCAGTATAAAACGAGATAATATACTAATTGTATGTTTGGTAAGAATTGTATGTTAAAAGTGCATTAATAATATAAACTTCACTGTTTAATTTTATTTACTTATTGATGGATCTTAAGAGTATCTCCCAGATATTATTTAAATATGAGATGTTCTATATTTTGAAGAGTCGGCTCTGAAAATTATATTCCAAGAACTAATATTTTAATTTGGAGAGTGGGTTTGACTCTATAAAATCACTCTATAATTAAACTCATTCAAATTATTTCAATTTTTAACGTAGGAAATTAATATAATAATCTAGAGAAAAACTACTTAAAATAAAAGACAAAAAAAAAATGATAAATACTTTTTGAGAATAATAGAATCAAATGTTGAATATAAAGAGCCTGTTTGAATGCTTCAAAATTTTTATTTTCTAAATTTATAGATGCTTTCTAAATTATAGAACATACTCTTTAAATATAGAAAGTCTCTTAAAGATACTTTAAATACTTTTGTCTTTTATTTGCAGGAAGAATCCTGCTTTGTACGAAAAACTCGCCAAAGGCCAAAGCCCCAAGGTAAAATTATTGAAAAGCAATATAGTGCTAAATAAAATTCGAATAGTCGATAAATTAGAAACAAGGAACAAATTCTAGCAAATCCGATCAGTATTACTTAACAAATACGATTTTGACGTTGACAAAATTTTACTAAATTTACTTGTAGTTCTTGGTATTTGCATGCTCCGACTCAAGGGTATGCCCTTCTCATATCCTTAATTTTCAACCCGGGGAGGCTTTTATTGTTCGAAATATCGCCAATATGGTTCCACCTTATGACCAGGTAATTGTTATTTTTTTACTTATAAGTATAAAAGTTGCTTTCAGTCGACTACAAAATTTCCTTTTTAATACACTAGGCGTTATTTTTAATAAAATTTGTTTTGCGTAAAATTCTTTGTTTACACCTACCATCGCGACAACCCTTTTAAACTTATAGCTTATCTTAACGTTTGAAAATTAGTTAGCTTATTTTCATTTAATGTTATCGAGTCACGTTTAATATTGTATGTTAAATATGTACTAATATATTATTTATTTAACTTGATGCTCAGAAGAAATATTCTGGAGGGGGTGCTGCCATTGAATATGCAGTGTTGCATCTTAAGGTGACCATAATATAAATATATAATGTCTCTCTTTTTTATTATTTAACTTAATTTTTACTTCAGTAAAAGCAAAGAATAAGTGGAAAAACTAATGGATGCAAAGTGAGCAAACATATAGGGACAGTACCTGCTTATAAGTCAATTTCATAGACCCCTTTATCCTTATTTTTAATCTTCAGAACTTATTCGCACATGCCCACTTGATTCCCCACATAATAAATTCTTAGAATAATGCCAATTATAAGGGGAAAAAGGGGGTCTTTTCTAATTAATTTTCTACTTAAAATAAGCCAATAATTAATTATTTTTTTGTTCTATTTATATTTCTCTCCATTTTGCACATAGTGACATAGACTTCACATTAGGTGGAGAATATTGTAGTTATTGGACACAGCTGCTGTGGAGGGATTAAAGGACTCATGTCTATCCCTGATGATGGTACCACTCAAAGGTTAGTCCTTTTGTATATTATTAATTTTATGTGGTATTCAACATGATTGTATAGTACCATATGCTGATATGCACCCGTTTGGTATAGATTAATTTTAATCTCTCATTAAAATCAACAATTAATTTTAACTATACATTTCATGCTACCCACAATTTTTTAATCACAAATTTCATCAACTTTTATCAAAATCTACTAAAAATCTGATTTTAATCCGAAAGGGACTAAATAGGATCATAATGCATTTTACCAATCTCGATTCGAAGTTAGGCGCGAATTAGTGAAGATATTGCTCATGAGCATATTTCTGCTCGCTCGAGCACTTGTAGCTTTTATGGTTGCTCGCTTGAGAGATTGTAGCTTTTTCGGCTTCATCTGTATTGTCTAGAACTATGCAGTCCACGTAATACAAATAGTTTCCATATTTATCGTCATTTCAACTTGCAGTGATTTTATTGAAGAATGGGTGAATATTTGCAAGACTGCTAAGGCAAAGGTGAAAGCAGAATGTAACAATTTGGATTTCACAGAACAATGCACACTGTTGGAAAAGGTAACTTTTTTCGGACCCTTTCATAAAAAATTTACTTCTTTTGAAAGTAATATACCGTTTCTGTCAAAATAAGTAACTTTGTAAGCTTAGCTGAATATACTCTTGGTGCCGGTCGATTAATTGTTGCTGTGGAATTGAGCAGGAGGCAGTAAATGTATCACTAGGGAACTTGTTAACCTATCCATTTGTGAGGGAGGCAGTGGGGAAGAAAACCCTTTCATTAAAGGGTGGACACTATGATTTTCTGAAGGGCTCTTTTGAGCTTTGGAATCTTGATTTTAGCCTCTCACCTTCTCTATCAGCGTAAGTAATTAATGCTGTTTCTATATATTGCTTCTTGCTTCCTTTCAGATACTCTCTTATTCGAAGGTGTAAAATGTCGCAACAAATAACGTTGGGTCGAGAAAGTAGACACGAAAGTTAATTTTTCTTGGTGTATGTTGTCGAGTGCAATATTACATATGTTAGTAAAATGTTGCTAATCGTTCTTGGCAATTTTTTTCATCTCTTGATCGCGATTCTATGCCAGTGACGTCAATTTCACCAATGGGCTTGAATAATTAGATCAGTATTATAAAAAATAATGTCATCTTTGGTCATCAAACTATCGTGAACCTCCCACGAGCTGCCCCTCGACAAATTTGGAATTTTAAGGAGAATGTTTGAAAACATATATCTTATGATTCAGACAGAGAATGTTAGTCCCATAATGTCTACATTGGTTTCAAATTTAGCAGCAATATTGATATTGTTCTTACCGGCATCATCATAAACGACGTCAAAACTAGAGTTTGATAAGGTGGATTGGACTGAATTATAGTATTCAGGAAGAAACAGAAGTCCGAAGTAAAGATCTTATTCATTGTAGGGACAGTCCGATATTATTACCAGACATGCTCTTAATGTTGTCTTGTATAATTAATCAATCCCTCGGATGCACACAATCAAAGCTCATAGGTTTTACCTGGATTACAAGAAATCCATCGACTCCACCGGCACCCCTTAAATCAAGTACGGATTTTCCCGCAGAAAGTCCAGCACTTTCAAGACCTTCATAGGCAGTTTCGATTGCCACAGCTGAATGGCAGCCTTTGCAAAATCAAGATTCTTGGGTTTTAGAGCGAGCAATTATAAAGACTTGAGTATCCATCTTAAAAAGTCAATCTTGTTAAGATGAGTAGTTCAAGTCCTTATAAATTGGTCTAAATCTTTATCTTTATTCGATGTGAAATTTATCACTTAACATGCCCCGTAAAATAGTATCTCGTTTTAGCAGACCAATCTTGTAATCTATATGTTCACTTTTTTGAAGTCTTAATCTAATCGAATTGCTCATTAGAGTCTAATACATTATTAAAACTTAGGATTCCATTTTAAAATTTCAATATTGTTAAAAGGAGTACCACAATCCCTTATAAGTTGACTACATCTTCATCTTTATTTGACATGAGGTTTATTCCTTAACATTAATTTCTCCTCGACAGCCGTGTACTCAGCCAACGAGCCAAGCTTTTAGGTTGTTCGAGTGCTTTTCATTTATGTCGCGTTATACTTCGTCACCTGCTTTAAGAAACTTTTACTTGACTGCCAATTTTAATTACCACACCAGCAACATCATAGCCTGCGACTACAGGAAAAAGAGAAATTCAAATAACAAATAGCTGTTCTTAGTTGCTGTCCTGGTCACGGATTGATTGGAAATATTACCTTTCTCGTGGCTCAGTTTGTTACCAGATAAGAGAAAGCTTCATTAACCTTGTTGAAAGGGTATGGCCTCTTTGGGTAGAGCAGCTGCTTCAACTACTTCCCATTCTCTAGAAATTGAAGGGTCTGTTCGATAATGATAATGATAATGATTATGATAATTGATTTTTTGATCGAAAAGTGGGTCCCATCTGCGAGGGAATAAATCAAAAATGACGACTGAAATAATGAAATAATTGTCAAAAAATTAATTTTTTGGGGGTGAAAAATTGCTATCAAACGGGGGCTTAGTTTCTTCAATATTTCTCCATTTGAAGAACCATTTGAAGAACGAAGACAAAATGAGTTAATATGCAAGATTTTTAGGAAAATGGGCTTGTTTGGTTTGGATTAAAATTTGATTTTAATCTAAGTCAAAGTCAAACAATCAATATTAAAATCTTTCATGAATTCCACAACTATTCAACCACACATTTCAAAAACCTTTATCACAATATACTAAAAAATCTAATTTTAATCCACACCAAACACCTTCGTAATAAGTTTCCATATCCAAAATATTACATAAGGTATATATGGTGTGATTTGTTTATTTCAACTATGGATATCTTTGTGTATGAGCTATCTATAATTGTGCATTTGTAATTTTTTTCTATTTTATTCAGTAAAAGGTATTTTTTTGTTACTTATTATATAAAATATAGTACGTAAAAAGCAACTTTATAAAATGTAGGACTCGTCGCACTCGCACCAGGTATTGAAACTATCTGAACAATTCTCATAAAGTTAATAAGTAATTCTAATAAAATAAATTTTCGCTTATTCAATGTGTGTATGCATAGTCAATTCAATCATCATCAACCTTTAGATTTGTTATTTCAATTCTTAATGGTTAAATGTTTCCTTTTCCTTTTGTAGGATGCCCCAAAACTTATTATTCAATCTCACCCAAAGTGTTTATTCTAATGTTGATTCCATAGCACTTTTCTCCATCAGTTTGATACGGTTTAACCATTGGAAGTAACCATTTCAATATGTGATGATTCTCCCTAAATTTGAGTATTTCAACCTCAAAAATTCACTATAAATCTAATTCTCGAATTAAGGGTTCAAGATTTAGAGCCACACGATCTCGACATTGACTCTCAAGTATTTTATCCAATATAATACTAAATTATCTAATTTAGAAGTTTTTGTCCTTTATCACCTTCGTCATGCTTTTTTGATAATGTGGCAGGCAAAATATTCTATATTTGGAATTTTTTCATATTGCACATTCATTGTATCCAGACACTAAAAAATACCCATTTAAACTTTCTTTTTGTTTCCACATTCAATATTGAGACGTACTTCTCACAATTGTTGTGATAAAACTAGATATATACAATTCATACTTATATAGAAGAAGAAAGATAAGAGAAAAAGCAATTGTACATATCCTCCACCTCCTATTTATAGCTATGCATCTCCACTAGGTTACAAAATTTGTTAGGTGTTCACGTGGAGAAATATTATATTATTATTGTCGAGCAAATCGAGTTGTGATTGTGTCAAGTCGATCTTTTACAAGTAGATTGATTCAACAAACTCAATCTTAACCATCGAGTAGATTGTGCTTTGATACTAATAATCGAGATCTTCGATACAAACATTTACTCAAGAATTTTCTATTCAGTCAATGTTTTGCTCCTAAAAAAGGGGGAAAATGGGAGAAGTAATAAAATTGCAGAATGGCTCATATTCATTATTCTCTATTTTACATGTGCTAATACATATGCCAGTCACAACATACTTTAACATTAACAACAAGATTTTCCACTCATTTTATATTTATTCAGAATATTCACAACTACATTTCTACTCTTAACACCAAACTATCATATATTTTTAGCCAGAACAGACATAGTATTCTTTGTTGCTGATCATGGATTGATAGGAAATATAGCCACTTTCCCGGTGGCTCGGTTTGTTTCCAGATAAGCAAAAGCTTCATTAACCTTGTTGAAAGGATATGGCCCCTTTGGGTCGAGCACCGGCTTTATCTTCCCGCTCTCCAGAAATGGATTTAGTTTCTTCAGTATTTCTCCATCCGAATGTAGCCTAAAGAAAAACCCAGGTGGCACTGCTTCACCAGTTATAAATACTACACTGCCACCTTCCTTCACTGCTTTCACTGCCCTGTCTCCTTGCCCTGTTTTTTCAAAGAAAAATGATGGCAGTGTTAATTACAACCATTGTGGGTAGTTCAAGTGAAGAAATTATGGATTGAGGAAGAATGTTTAATTCGAGTCGACAACAGTAATGTGATTGAAGGGTAAGAATTCCAGAATATTGCAACTGCCGTGAGCAAATTCCTCAGTTAGCCAGAACAGACATAGTATTCTTTGTTGCTGATCATGGATTGATAGGAAATATAGCCACTTTCCCGATGGCTCGGTTTGTTTCCAGATAAGCAAAAGCTTCATTAACCTTGTTGAAAGGATATGGCCCCTTTGGGTCGAGCACCGGCTTTATCTTCCGGCTCTCCAGAAATGGATTTAGTTTTTTCAGTATTTCTCCATCCGAATGTAGCCTAAAGAAAAACCCAGGTGGCACTGCTTCACCAGTTATAAATACTACACTGCCACCTTCCTTCACTGCTTTCACTGCCCTGTCTCCTTGCCCTGTTTTTTCAAAGAAAAATGATGGCAGTGTTAATTACAACCATTGTGGGTAGTTCAAGTGAAGAAATTATGGATTGAGGAAGAATGTTTAATTCGAGTCGACAACAGTAATGTGATTGAAGGGTAAGAATTCCAGAATATTGCAACTGCCGTGAGCAAATTCCTCAGTAAAAGCAAAAAATAAGTGGAAAAACTAATGGATGCAATGTGAGCAAACATATAGGGACAGTACCTGCTTATAAGTCAATTTCATAGACCCCTTTATCCTTATTTTTAATGATCAGAACTTATTTGCACATGCCCACTTGATTCCCCACATAATAAATTCTTAGAATAATGCCAATTATAAGGAAAAAAAGGGGTCTTTTCTAATTCATTTTCTACTTAAAATAAGCCAATAATTAATTATTTTTTTGTTCTATTTATAATTCTCTCCATTTTGCACATATTGACATAGACTTTACACTAGGTGGAGAATATTGTAGTTATTGGACACAGCTGCTGTGGAGGGATAAAAGGACTCATGTCTATCCCTGATGATGGTACCACTCAAAGGTTAGTCCTTTTGTGTATTATTAATTTTATGTGGTATTCAACATGATTGTATAGTACCATATGCCCCCGTTTGGTATAAATTAATTTTAATCTTTAATTAAAATCAACAATTAATTTTAACCACATATTTCATGGGATCTAGAACTTTTCAATCACAATTTCATCAAACTTTTATCAAAATCTACTAAAAATGTAATTTTAACCAAAAAGGGGCTAAATAGGATCATAACACATTTTACTGATCTCGATTCGAAGTTATGTGCGAATTAGTGAAGATATTGCTCACGAGCATATTTTTGCTGGCTCGAGCGCTTGTAGCTTTTATGGTTGCTCGCTTGAGAGATTGTAGCTTTCTCGGCTTCATCTGTATTGTCTAGAACTATGCAGTCCACGTAATACAAATAGTTTCCATATTTATCGTCATTTCAACTTGCAGTGATTTTATTGAAGAATGGGTGAATATTTGCAATACTGCTAAGGCAAAGGTGAAAGCAGAATGTAACAAGTTGGATTTCACAGAACAATGCACACTGTTGGAAAAGGTAACTTTTTTCGGACCCTTTCGTAAAAAAGTTACTTCTTTTGAAAGTAATATATCATTACTGTCAAAATAAGTAACTTTGTAAGCTTAGCTGAATATACTCTTGGTGCCGATCGATTAATTGTTGTTGTGGAATTGAGCAGGAGGCGGTAAATGTATCACTAGGGAACTTGTTAACCTATCCATTTGTGAGGGAGGCAGTGGGGAAGAAAACCCTTTCATTAAAGGGTGGACACTATGATTTTCTGAAGGGCTCTTTTGAGCTTTGGAATCTTGATTTTAGCCTCTCACCTTCTCTATCAGCATAAGTAATTAATGCTGTTTCTACATATTGCTTCTTGCTTCCTTTCAGATACTCTCTTATTCGAAGGTGTAAAATGTCGCAGCAAATAACGTTGGGTCGAGAAAGTAGACACGAAAGTTAAGTTTTCTTGGTGTATGTTGTCGAGTGCAATATTACATATGTTAGTAATATGTTGCTAATCTTTCTTGGCAATTTTTTTCGTCTCTTGATCGCGATTCTATGCCAGCGACGTCAATTTCACCAATGGGCTTGAATAATTAGATGCAGTTTTATAAAAAATAATGTCATCGTTGATCATCAAACAACCTACCACGAGCTGCCCCTCCACGAATTTGGAATTTTAAGGAGAATGTTTGAAAACATATATCTTATGATTCAGACAGAGAATTTTAGTCCCATAATGTCAACATTGGTTTCAAATTTAGCAGCAATTGTGATATTGTTCCTACCGACAGCATCATAAACGACGTCAAAACTAGTGTTTGATAAGGTGGATTGGACTGAATTATAGTATTCAAGAAGAAACAAAAGTCTGAAGTAAAGATCTTATTCATTGTAGGGAGAGTCCAATATTATTACGAGGCTTGCTCTTAATGTTGTCTTTTATAATTAATCAATCCCTCGGATGCACACAATCAAAGCTCAGAGGTTTTACCTGGATTACAAGGGTTCATCGATTCCACCGGCACTCCTTAAATCAAGTACGGATTTTCCGGCAGAAAGTCCAGCCCTTTCAAGACCTTCATAGGCAGTTTCGATTGCCAGAGCTGAATAGCAGCCTTTGCAGATCAAGATTCTTGGGTTTTAGAGCGAGCAATTATTAAGACTTGGTATCCATCTTAAAAAGTCAATCTTGTTAAGATGAGTAGTTCAAGTCCTTATAAGTTGGTCTAAATCTTTATCTTTATTCGATGTGAAATTTATCGCTTAACATGCCCCGTAAGATGGTAGCTTGTTTGAGCAGACCAATCTTGTAATTCATATGTTCATTTTTTTGAAGTTTTAATCTAATCGAATTGTTTATTAGAGTTTAATAGACTCTAATACATTATTAAAACTTAGGATTCCGTTTTAAAATATCAATATTGTTAAAAGGAGTATCAAAATCCCTTATAAGTTGGCTACATCTTCATCTTTATTCAACTGAGATTTATTCCTTAACAGTAATTTCTCCTCGACAGCCGTGTACTCAGCCAACGAGCCAAGCTTTTAGGTTGTTCAAGTGCTTTTCATTTATGTCGCGAAATACTTCGTCACCTTCTTTAAGACCTTTTACGTTGCCGCCAATTTTAATTACCACACCAGCAACATCATAGCCTGGGATTGCAGGAAAAAGAGAAATCCAAATAACAAATAGCCGTTCTTAGTTGCTGTCCTGATAATGGATTGATTGGAAATATGACAACCTTTCTCGTCGCTCAGTTTGTTACCAGATAAAAGAAAGCTTCATTAACCTTGTTGAAAGGGTATGGCCTCTTTGGGTAGAGCAGCTACTTCAACTACTTCCCATTCTATAGAAATTGATTTAGTTTCTCCAATATTTCTCCATTTGAAGTAAGAACAAAGACAAAATGAGTTAATATGCAAGATTTTTAGGAAAACGAGCATGTTTGGTTTGGATTAAAATATGATTTTAATCGAAGTCAAATTCAAACAATCAATATTAAAATCTTTCATGAGTTCCATAACTTTTCAACCACACATTTTAAAAACCTTTATCACAATGTACTGAAAAATCTAATTTTAATCCAAAATGTTACATAAGGTAATATATATATATATATGGTGTGATTTGTTTATATCAACTGTGGATATCTTTGTGTATAAGCTATCTATACTTGTCCATTTGTAATTTTTTCTATTTTATTCAGTAAAAGGTATTTTTTGTTAAAAGGTATTTTTTGTTACTTATTATATAAAATATAGTACGTAAAAAGCAACTTTATAAAATGTAGGACTCGTCGCACTCGCACCAGGTATTGAAACTATCTGAACAATTCTCATAAAGTTAATAAGTAATTCTAATAAAATAAATTTTCGCTTATTCAATGTGTGTATGCATAGTCAATTCAATCATCATCAACCTTTAGATTTGTTATTTCAATTCTTAATGGTTAAATGTTTCCTTTTCCTTTTGTAGGATGCCCCAAAACTTATTATTCAATCTCACCCACAGTGTTTATTCTAATGTTGATTCCATAACACTTTTCTCGATCAGTTTGATACGGTTTAACCATTGGAAGTAACCATTTCAATATGTGATGATTCTCCCTAAATTTGAGTATTTCAACCTCAAAAATTCACTATAAATCTAATTCTCGAATTAAGGGTTCAAGATTTAGAGCCACACGATCTCGACATTGACTCTCAAGTATTTTATCCAATATAATACTAAATTATCTAATTTAGAAGTTTTTGTCCTTTATCACCTTCGTCATGCTTTTTTGATAATGTGGCAGGCAAAATATTCTATATTTGGAATTTTTTCATATTGCACATTCATTGTATCCAGACACTAAAAAATACCCATTTAAACTTTCTTTTTGTTTCCACATTCAATATTGAGACGTACTTCTCACAATTGTTGTGATAAAACTAGATATATACAATTCATACTTATATAGAAGAAGAAAGATAAGAGAAAAAGCAATTGTACATATCCTCCACCTCCTATTTATAGCTATGCATCTCCACTAGGTTACAAAATTTGTTAGGTGTTCACGTGGAGAAATATTATATTATTATTGTCGAGCAAATCGAGTTGTGATTGTGTCAAGTCGATCTTTTACAAGTAGATTGATTCAACAAACTCAATCTAAACCATCGAGCAGATTGTGTTTTGATACTAATAATCTAGATCTTCGATACAACATTTACTCAAGAATTTTCTATTCCGTCAATGTTTTGCCCCTAAAAAATGGGGGAAAACGGGAGAAGTAATAAAATTGCAGAATGGCTCATATTTATTATTCTCTATTTTACATGTGCTAATACATATGCCAGTCACAACATACTTTAACAATAACAAGATTTTCCACTCATTTTATATTTATTCAGAATATTCACAACTACATTTCTACTCTTAACACCAAACTATCATATATTTTTAGCCAGAACAGACATAGTATTCTTTGTTGCTGATCATGGATTGATAGGAAATATAGCCACTTTCCCGGTGGCTCGGTTTGTTTCCAGATAAGCAAAAGCTTCATTAACCTTGTTGAAAGGATATGGCCCCTTTGGGTCGAGCACCGGCTTTATCTTCCCGCTCTCCAGAAATGGATTTAGTTTCTTCAGTATTTCTCCATCCGAATGTAGCCTAAAGAAAAACCCAGGTGGCACTGCTTCACCAGTTATAAATACTACACTGCCACCTTCCTTCACTGCTTTCACTGCCCTGTTTCCTTGCCCTGTTTTTTCAAAGAAAAATGATGGCAGTGTTAATTACAACCATTGTGGGTAGTTCAAGTGAAGAAATTATGGATTGAGGAAGAATGTTTAATTCGAGTCGACAACAGTAATGTGATTGAAGGGTAAGAATTCCAGAATATTGCAACTGCCGTGAGCAAATTCCTCTTCCCACCAACTATAACAAATCATCTTTGTTCTCGATAAATTTTGGGTCAACTACGTGAATTGCCATATCTACAAGAAGATCCAATGCAAACTAGATGCTTAGCATTGCCAGTTTTGGTTTACACCTCCCTCATCCAATCTCTAATAATGAGGTGAGATCACATCAGTTTAATGAATGGGAGAAAAATAATCTAAATAGACAGAATAAATTTCCATAGCAGCTTCCACAAGTTATGCCCCCCTTAGTATTTTCCCTTCTAAAAAGTTAAAGCACTAGATATGTTGTCGGCCGATAGTTCATATGCTTCAGTACAATGCCATGAATGTCGCCACCCTGAATGGGCACAGAAATACTTACTTCAAAACATCATTATCATCTGAAGACCTTAGCAGCTTTGGATACCTAAAAGACGTTGTCCAACATGCTAAACTACTACACAATATCATTTTTAGAACAGATATATGTTAATTTTATGAAACGTCACTTGCTCAAAATGCATCGACTTATAGATATGTTAGCAATTGTTTCAATTTGGGATCAGTCTCATAACATTTACACTTAGAGAAGCTAATATTACAAACATGGCTACGAATTTAGCAGAAACTGGGACATTTCTTACCTACAGCATCATAAACGACATCGAATTTTTCCTGAAGGTCTTCAAAGTTCTCCTTAGTATAGTCAATTGCCAAATCTGCCCCCAAGCTTTTCAGAAGTTCCAGTTTTCCTGTGCTTGAAGTAGCAGCTACCTTTGAAGCACCAAACACTAGTTTTGCAATCTGCATCACCAAAATAAATAGATGATTCTAATGTTTCTCTATGCCGTTAGCTTAATCCCTCAGCCATTATTTGAAGCATGCAATGGTACTAATTAATAGAAAGAAGTTAAATCTTGTCTATTGTAATATCTAGTCCTTTACACGATCCACACAGATAAACAAAGCCATAACTTAGTGGTTTACCTGGATCACAAGGGACCCAACTCCACCAGCCCCACCTAATACAAGTACGGATTTTCCGGCAGAAAATCCCGCACTTTCAAGACCTTCATAAGCAGTCAAAATAGCCACAGGGAGACTAGCAGCCTGTGCAAAATCAAGATTTTTGGGTCTCAGAGCCAGTAATCTCTCCTCAACAGCAGTGTACTCGGCCAACGAGCCAAATTGTTTTGGTCGTTCGTGTATCATCGACTTCTCATTTACGTCCCCATATACTTCATCTCCTTCTTTTAGGCCTTTTACTTGACTACCAACTTTAACCACCACACCAGCAACATCATAGCCCGGAATAGTCTACAGGAAAAAAGAGAAATCAATACATTAAGTGGGCATTTACATCTATTAGGTGCTAAAAATTGTCAATTACACCATCTGAATTAGTAGTTAATGCAATTTCAGCGTCAGCATATATGATTCTAGCTTACCTTACATAGAAACTTTCTAACAAAGAGACAACTTAGATATTCATCAAGTCTTATGACTCTTGTTCCAGATAAATTTGGAGGGTGCTACATGAATTTTTTATTTTTTATTTTAACACTAGTTGAGTTCACAGTTGAATAAAATCTGCAGGAAAAAAGAGAGTAAGAGAAAATTACAGGAAGGGGTGAATCAATGGCCTTAAATTGCCCGAGCCGCCTTTTGTAATCAACTGGATTAATAGAGGCCGCCACCACCTTAATCAAGACCTGATCATCTTTCAGTTCCGGCACTGCAACTTCGGACTCGAACTTGAACACCTCAACCCCGCCATACTCATAGTAAATCCAGGCCTTCATTTTGGATGGTATAGGAGAAGACATTGACACAAACAGCTTGTGAGTGAGAAAATTGGGATTCTTGTGGGTTTATATTCAGATTGTGGCTGGGAAATATGGTGTGTCTTCAGTTTGGAAGTTGCGTAAGAGGGTTTACCATAGATGACTCCAGAAAGCATTTTTGATATGGACTCAAAACGATAAACACAGTCTTGAAGAAAATGTTCAGATCTTTGTACAAGCCTGTAATAAAGTCTATGTTCAACCCACTCATTTAAAAGTCGTTTCAGGTATTATTTGACAACTATTTTTGATAAAAATTAAAGTAATATATATGATTTAAAAAAAATCGATAAAAGTTATGAAATTTATAAAATGTGTAAATTAAATTAAATTTTGATTGATTATAAAATCGATAATATTTTAATCCAAGTTTTACCACGCAAACATTAATGAATTTACACTCTACCATCATATTTTGTAAATGTATATTTTAAATAGGAATGTTAA